ACACCTGAACACACACTTGAACACACACCTGAACACACACACCTGAACACACACACCTGAACACACACCTGAACACACACACCTGAACACACACACCTGAACACACACCTGAACACACACACACCTGTCTGTATTTTATGTGTGTGTGTGTGTGTGTGTGTGTGTCAGGTTCCCAGAAGCCTTTGAGACCTTCAGCGGTTTCAGGAAGTTCTTCCCGATGGTTTCCTCGTACTGTTTCTGCTCGGACAGCAGAGGTCGAGAGCTGGAGAACACAGGTACGCACACAGTCACATGTTCCGTTTCCATGGCGACCACGATGAGGAAGATGACGATGTGCTTGTTGCTCAGGTGTGGAGCTGCTCCTGTCTGAAGTGTACGACTCTGCGTTCACCGGACTCCGGTCCGGTCGCTCCGTGTCTCAGAGCAACATCTACAGAGTCCTGCAGCGAAGGATGCTGGGAGTCCGCCTCGCCATCACTGGACACTTCAGATGTAAACGTTGAATTCATTCAGGTTGGAAAAATCTTAAAGTGGATGAAACTGATTTGAACTCTGACCTCAGGTCCCTCGGCCTGTGAGGAGGAGCGGCGGGCGGCCCAGTCCGATCACTACGTCCCGTCCTGTGACGACGCAGGAGCGTTCACTTCCAGACAGTGCCAGCAGGGGGGGCAGTGCTGGTGTGTGGAGCCCACAGGCAGAGAGCATCCTGGGAGTCGACAGTTTGGAGACTCTCTGATCTGCAGTGAGTCTCCTCGTCCTCCTTCACCCAAAACATTCTTTTCTTCTATCTGTGTCTTAATTTCACCTTTTTTCATGAATCAGTATTTTCCTCATCACATGTGTTTTCTCCTCCTCTTCCTCTCCTCTCCCTCTCCTCCTCCTCTCCTCTCCTCCTCCTCTCCTCTCCTCCTCCTCTCCTCTTCTCCTCCTCCTCCAGATACAGGTGTTGACTGTCTCTCTCAGCGGCGTCTCGCTCTCTCTCATCTTTTTTCTGGACCCGTTGATCCTCCTCCTGGCGCCTTGTCGGCCAGATCTCCAGCTTCCTGTCTCGAGCTCCTTCGGCCTCTCCGTGACATCCTGCCGGTGGAGGCGGATGTGAGCTCCTTCCTGTCTCGCCTGGTTGAAGTCCTCCAGGGTCTCTTCCCCACTGTGGGAGGAGCTCTGCAGGCTCTGGCTCGGGCCTCCCCTCGTCGCCTCCAGGAGAACCTGTTCGGAGGGAAGTTTCTGAAGAATGCTGCGGACTTTAACTTCAGTGGAGCGGTGGGAGCTCGAGGAGCTCTGGGTCTGGAGCTGCTCTCCTCTAACGGCGTCGCCATCGGCCTCCAGAGGAACCGGGACTTGGTCCAGTCTGTCAGTAGAGCGCTGGAGGACCCCGCCTTCCTCGCCACCCTCCAACACACACTCACAGGAAGCAGCAGCACCTCCTCCCTGCAGCAGGTAAAAAACCATGTCTGCTGGTTATCAGAGTTCAGTTTGTCTCATCGATGTCAACAGGTCGTCCTCTGTCCTTCACTCAACAAGAGTCCAACTACCAGAGACACTTTCTGAGCAGTAACTGAAGCTCAGAGTCACATGTGAGGACACGAGGACAATAGATGCTGATGAACTGAACACGTCAACACAACAACACACTGATGAGAGTTTAACATCATGGATGTGAAGACTAACCTGGACCCGCTCTAACTCGAAATCTGTGGATGTTAAACGTGCTTGATGCTGAAAGCTCCTCCTCTACTTTTAGAGACTTTAGAGAGGACAAGTTGTTACAGTCCAAAAAGTCCTCTGTGGACAGACTTACTAAAACCAAACAGGGTCAAAGGTCAAACGTAGAGCTGATGCGTTGCTCTTGTTTTCCAGGTTCTGGCCCCTCTGCTCCGTCACTGCTCTGCTGACGAGGACGACGATGCAGCGGCCACATTTGTTCCCAGTTGCACGTCCAGTGGAGGTTTCCAGGAGGTTCAGTGTCAGGGTGGGGACTGCTGGTGTGTCGACCCTCAGGGTCAGGAGGTCACGGGGTCGCGGACCTCTGGTCGTCGGCCTCGTTGTCCGACCCGGTGTGAGAGAGAGAGAGCCATGGCACTGCAGGTGAAAGGAAAGATGTCGGCCGGAGCTGAAATCCACATCCCAGCATGCTCAGAGAGGGGAGACTTCCTACCGCTGCAGTGTGTTGGGTCACGCTGCTTCTGTGTGGACACTGAGGGACAAACAATGATTGCTGGGCCAACAGGGGGCGCTGTCAACTGTAAGATATCACTAATGTTCTGACACACGTCTTTTCTTTAGATCTTTCTCAGATGTTCCTCACTTTGTTTCTATTCAAACTTTATTTAAACAAAAGAGACTCTTTTGAAGGAGCAGATGTGACCGTCTGTCTGTCCGTCGTATTTCAGGCTCACAGAGACCAACACAGAAGCTTCAGTCCTTCACAGGTCAGTACAAATATAAATGAACCTTCCAGTCGACTTCAACAACCGATCAAAGCTCATCTTACAACAACCAGGAAGAAGAGAAGAAGAAGAAGCTGCGTCCGTCACACAAGCACTGATGTTTATGTAGATGTCACTGCTCGTTAATGGACAAGATTAAACGTGTCTGTGAGAAGATAGAAAATATTATTTATTATCATTGGTGCAGTGAGATCTAAGTTGATCACGTAAGAGCGTCCATCGCTGCAGCTCCTCTTCTCAGTCTCTGTCTCTAACACCTGGTTTTAGCTCCTGTCTCTTTAAGATCCCTGTCCTGATATCGTCTGTTCTGATTGGTCAGCTGCTCCATTCACTCTACCTGACTTTGTGAGGGGAGGCGTGTCAGACTAGTTGCTGCGCTAGTCTAAGCGTACATTTGAGTAATGCACAGCAGCTAGCGTAGCAGCTAGTCTACAAACTGTTCCTTGTGTTAACAGATCCAATGAAGGTCACATTAATTGGATGCTAACCTGTTAGCCACACTAACAGGAGATCGCTGCTAACTTGCAGGTCGCTGCTCTCAGGCGTTGGCCGAGGTCACGGCGTTCAGAGAGCGGGTGAAGAGTGTCGCCGCTTTCTCTCAGTCCACACACATCCCTCTGGGGTACGGATTCCTATTGGCTGAAGGTCTGCGTCTGACCCCGGACGAGCTTCAAATCAACCAATCACAGGAGGAGATGCAGATTTCTGAGCAGCTGCTGAGTCAATCCTACGCCGCTCTGCGATTGGCTGCCTCCTCCAGTGAGTCAGAGTCTGAGGTAGATTCTGTTTGAGGATTCAAGGAATAATTCAGGTTTGTTGAAAAATGATGTGTTTCAGCTGTCCAGATGTTCCTGCGGCCTCAGCGTCGTTCCTACCAGCCGTTCACACCTCAGTGTGATGCTGACGGACACTGGATGTACACACAGTGTTACCACAGCACAGGTCTCACACACACACACGCACAGACACACACACGTCTGTACAGTGCTTAATGAAGTCCAAAGTATTCATGTGTGTTTTGTTTTCCAGGTCAGTGTTGGTGTGTCGATGAAGACGGAGAGTTCGTCCACAACTCTCTGACCAGCCGCTCACTCATCCTGCCCACATGTGAGACCACACATTTTAAAAGCTCGGAGCTTAGATGTTGAAGGAGCGACATCTTGATATCATGTGTGTGTGTGTGTGTGTGTGTGTGTGTGTGTGTGTACAGGTCTGACTCGCTGTCAGAGAGCTCGGGCTCACACTCTGCTCTCTGGTTGGATGAAACTTCATCAAACAACGTGTGAGGAGGTGAGACAACACACTCGTTTGTTAAAGGTTCAGTTAGATTCAGGTGGATGGACTGAACATAAAATAAGATGAATAGTT